GGCCGGGCACGCGCACCTCCAGGTCCCTGGGCTCACCTGGCCGGGCACGTGCACCTCCAGGTCCCTGGGCTCACCTGGCCGGGCACGCGCACCTCTGGGCCCACGGCCCGCCCCGCCCCCACCCAGCGCGGCGTGGTGGAGCGGGGTTTGCGCGCTTGGGCAGGTGCAGAGCCTGAGACCTTGGCCAGTTCTGGTCCTCGGTTTTGTTTCTCCGTGTTTAAATGCTTGTGTGAGTGATTTGCCTTTTCATGTTAAATGGATCTAGCAAATACTGTTGGTGTCCATCCTGAATTGACCTTTGCCTTGTCCAGCAAAGAAGTGGCCATCTTCTGCAGCTTCCTGCTGGGCCTGGGAGACAGCTGCTTCAACACCCAGCTGCTCAGTATTCTAGGCTTTCTCTACTCCGAGGACAGTGCGCCGGCCTTCGCCGTCTTTAAGTTCGTTCAGGTAGCCGCTCACGTGTTAAGGGCAGGCGCTTCCTGTTAGTGCTTAGTTACCCTTTGTTTTTGTTTTTTAAGATTTATTTTATTTATTCAAGAGGTGGGGGGTGAGAAGACTCCCAGAGACGGTGGGGAGCAGAACAGGCAGGTGGACTGAAGCCCACTGCTGAGGGGAGCCGCGGGGAGACAGGAGGGGTCTGCTGCACCTGTGGGTCCCTCCCTGGCGGAGATGGGACTCAGGCGGCCTTGGTGATAGCGCTGATGCTTCACCCTAGGCCACCAGGGAGGCCCCCGAAGTGCTGTTTTCGGCAGCGGCCCAGCTCACTCGGTCAGCACCGGCCCGGGGGCTCGTGGGCCGGTGGGGCAGAGGAGCAGAGCCCGGGCTGGCTGGGGCGGCGGCGCGCCCGGCTGACTGCCGTGTCTGTTCTCAGTCCATCTGCGCAGCCGTGGCGTTTTTCTACAGCAACTACCTGCTCCTTCACTGGCAGCTCCTGGTCATGGTGATTCTCGGCTTTTCGGGGACTGTTTCCTTCTTCGCTGTGGAGTGGGGCGCCGCCGCCATCGTGGCCCGCGGCTCCGACTACCGCAGTATCTGACCGACGGCGGCTCTGCGGGCGCAGCTGAGCGAGCGCGGAGGAAGCCGCCGGCCCTCGCCACTGGCGGCTGCGCTTTGGCGCGGGCACGAGACCTCGGGACGGCGGCCGCGGCGCTGCGTTTACTGGGCGATTCCACGAAAAGCCAAGTGGAGGAAGGGGACTCGTCCTTCGGTTGTCATTGTCCCGAGCTGCTTTGAACAGTCTGGAATTCACGTCTCGAGTTCCTGAGACCGTGTTGTGGGGTGTGAACGGTCTCTTCTCCCACCACTCTGGGGAAGGATTCCCCTGACTCCGAGGCCATGCGCCCGGCAGGCTCTGGCGGGGGCGGGCACCGGCTGCTTGCGTCCGGGAGCTCAGGCCGCTCGGCAGAGGCACCTGGGTCTGACAGTCAAATAAATCACGAAGTACGGCCTGGAGTGGCCTCTGGAAAGACGGGCTCTCCGTGAGTTTCTCACCTTGCAGCTCATAGCAGACTAAGTATTCTTAAACGAGGTGCAAATTGTCTTACGCCTAACATTTGTAAGGAACAAAACACATTTCCTGGGGTGGGGGGTCTTGCTGGGAATTTGCAGTACAAAAGTCATGACAGCTGCGGGCCTGGCTGTGGGGGCCACGCCACACACCTGCCCCCGCACCCCGGCAAGGGCCAGGGCGGTGGGGGCGGAGGACCCTGGAAACCCAGCTCCTCTACAGCGGCTCGCTTAGACTTTTTTTAAATTGACACAACTCAGAGACCATAAGATTCACCACCTGCAAGCGTGTGAGTCGGGGCCCTGAGTGTATCCGCAGGCCTGTCCAGCTGCCACCTGTGATTCCAGGACTTTCACCCCCAAAAGGAGCCCCGTGCCTGGTGGTCCCCGTCTCAGTTGGTGCTGCCGCCCGCCCGCCTGCCGCCTCTGTGAAGCTGCCGGTTCTGGAAGCTCCGCAGACGCGGGAGGCTTGCTCCTACACGTGGCGCTTGACACAGGTGAAAGTCTCCCGGCAACGCTGACTTAGCAAGGAGCTAAGCGTACCTGTGCTGATGTGTTTTAAAACCACCTCGAAATTTAGAAACGCTGTCTGCTGAAGGAAAACCCGTGTGCTCTTCCGCTGGCGGGTGAGTGCAGGGCCACGCGGCCCCTCGTCTCAATGCCTGAGAAGCCCGTGTGTGACGCAGCTGGCACCCTGAGGGCTCGTGCAAGTTGACGTGAACGTGGCTGTGTCGGCCTGTGTGCATTACCTCTCGGTGCTGTTGCAGGCCTGGTACAAAGCGCTTCACAGGTGCTCTGTATACGAAATTGCCCCAACACTGAGCCGCCCAGAGCGGGCCGTCTGGGTGGGGAATCTGGGCGCGGGGCCCCTGAGTCCTCACTGCAAGGTCAGTTCTCAGGCTGTTGTCTGGGCTTGTGGGAGGCCCCACCCGCTGCCCACCGCTCCTGGTCCCAGAACTGTCCTTGGGCACCGGCAATGAAGTGCCGTGAACACGTCTCGGTCTGGCTTCACCCCCAGTGGCCGCTGCTGGGTGTCACTGCCCCAGCCCCTAGGGAGCGGGCAGCAGGAGGCCAGGGCCTTTGGGGCTCCAGTGCTCAGAAAGTCCAACAGGGGACTTTGGAAAGGACGCAAGTTCAGGGTCAGCATGTCCTCAGGGCCACAGTCCTCAAGTGGTCTCTGTTCTTGGGAGCTCTGGACTTCAGTAGGTGGCACTCTCCACCTTCCCCCATCCGAGACTTCCCGAGAGGGTGTATACAATCCCCAAACCCATTTTTCTCTGAACCAGTCAGAGGCCGGGAGAGCGAGGATTGGAGTGCTTCTAGAAAGGTACTGCTGTTCTCCGAGCAGCCTTGATCATGAATTAAATCGCTTAAGTAGAGCATGTGTATCTTTATTCTCTCAAATTGAGAGACTTTGTGTCAGGAGATACTCTCTGCAGTGTGGCTAAGTGTTCGTTTCTGTTTGGTTTTCTGAGAAAGTGGGTGGTCTTGCACAGTCTTCTGGCCACGCAGTGGGCAGCGTCACCTCGGTCTGAGGCTTGTCCAGCAGTGACACGATCATGAATGTGGAGTGTGGCTTTGGCTGTGACAGCATCAGATTTGAAAAACGACCAGCTCGTTAAAATCTCTGCCACTTTGAACTTGTTTGCGTAGATTCTTCCAGTTTCCAAGTAAAATGCAGACAGGCCCTCCCTAGGGGGACAGGGGGTTAAAGCACAGCACTAGGTGACAACTCCGGCCAGGGAGTGACCCCAGGGTGCAGCAGACCCCGCCTGTCTCCCCACTGCTCCCCTCAGCAGTAGGTTTCAGTTCTCTGCCTGTTCTGCTCCCCTCAGTCTCTGGTAAGTCCTCTTCTCCCCCCACCTCTGGCCTGTACCCCAGTTCTTGTGTGCATAAATAAATAAAAACACTGCTTTGTAGCTCGCAGGCCCTCAGCATTTACCCATGTTCTTGAGGAAATAGGCAGCAGGTTCCATGGAAATTCTCTTGGCTTGGTTTTCTGGTTCTTTCAAGCCTCTCAATGTTAAACCTATCTTTTTAGTCCTTTAAAAACACTTTAAAGTAAACATCCCCATCAAAAGATGGGCAGAAGAACTAAAGAGACACTTCTCCAAGGAGGAAATGCAGATGGCCAACAAGCATATGAAAAATGTTCAGTATCACTTGTAGTAAGGGAGATGCAAATTAAACCACAGTGAGATACCACCTTACCCCAGTGAGAATGGCACAACTTCAAACAACTAGCAGCAACACATGTTGGTGAGGATGTGGAGAAAAAGGAACTCTCCTGCACTGCTGGTGGGAATGCAAACTGGTACAACCACTATGGAAAACTGTTTGGAGGTTCCTCAAACTGATAAACATGGAGCTTCCCTAGGACCCAGCAATCCCACTCCTAGGTATCCACCCAAAAGACACAAAAACACTGATTCAAAAAGACACCTGCACCCCCATGTTTATTGTTGCCTTAATTTACAATCATAAAGACATGGAAACAGCCCAAATGCCCAAAAGTGGATGACCGGAGTAAAAAGATGTGGTCCATAGACACAATGGAATATTACTCAGCAATCAAAAAGATAAACTCGTGCCTTTTGCAGCAGCATAGATGGAGCTGGAAGGGATCATGCTTCGTGAAATAAGCCAGAAAGAATACCAGGTGGTCTCACTCATAGCAGGAGTATAAAGGACCAGGGGAGAAAATAATAATAATGAACAGTTATATACCAGAGACAATTTATGGGGGTGGAGTGAGGAATGGGCTCAAAAATGGGGGGGAGGAGGGAAATGCATGGGACTGTGGTGATGACACAGGGTGATCTGGTGATGGGAAGCCCACGGGGATGACAGAGATGGGAAAAGGCACAAAATGATGGAAAAATAAATATTTAAAAAACAAAAACAAAAACACTTTCATAGAGCGGCTTTAGGTTCATAGAACAAAGTCCAGAGCTCCCATGTAGCCGCTGCCCCCTGCTCCATTTCCAGTGCCCCCCAGAGTTGTCATGCGGATGAGCCTGCATCAACACGTCACCGTCCCCGTCTACACTGGGACACATCCTCGCTGCGGTGCCCACGCGAGCTCTGGGCAACGCGCCCTGACAGGCGGCCACCTTCAGGGCCGCGGGGTCACCACTAGGGCCCTCTGCTCTGCCCCCTCCCGCCACACTGGCCTTGATCGTCTCTGTCGCTCTGCCTTTTCCAGAATACCCTGGTTGGAGTCACAGGGTAACGGTCCCTCCTGACCTCCCCACACTCGGAAGCTCAGTCCCCCTTCGCGCTGAGCGCTGCTCGTTGCAAGATGCCCCACGGGGCTCACCTGCCCGAGGAAGTCTCGGCCAGCCCGTAATCTGCAGTCAGGACAGCTGCTGTGAACATCTGTGCGGTGCGCGCCTTCTCCCTGGTGACCCCCAAGCCCTGTGTTTGCTACGTCATCTGCCGATAGCATGTTTAGTTTAGCAGAAACTGCCAAAGTCAGTGCTTAGCATCTGCCAAGCAATGAGTGGGACGCACCCCTGCCCCGGGGCCCCTGTCGGGGCTGACCCACCAGGTGGAGGCTTGTGCCCCGTGGCTGTGACTACAGCAGGCGTGCCCTGGGGCATGCCCTGCTCAGTTGAAGCCACCCCTGCAGGGCTGCTGGAATGCCCGGGGAGGTCTTTGTGTGTTTTGGATGACAGGGCTGTCACGTGCTCTTTTCATAAATCTCTCCCTCGTTCGGCTTATCTCGTGCTCTGGAGCGATTTCCCCAACACGTGCAGATGGTCCCACGCGCCGGACGCCTTCCTGGCGCCTGTCCTGGCTGCTGGTTCTCTGAGCTGCTATTAAATCTGGATGGCTTGGGGCTTTTAACATGGTAGTTTTGCCCTAATTCTGCGTGAAAAATGAAAAGGAGGCTGCAATTTTATTTTTTTATAAGATTTGTTTGTTTATGCATACAGAACTGGGGTGCAGGCCAGAGGTACGGGGGGGTGAGAGGACTCCGCAGAGACAAAGTGGGGAGCAGAACAGGTAGATGGACTGAAACCCGCTGCTGAGGGGAGCAGCGGGGGCCAGGAGAGGTCTGCTGCACACTGGGGTCACACCGCGGCTGGGGTCAAGGGCGGCTGCGGCCGCTGGGTAGGGCCCAGTCCGACGCGCACGGGCCGAGGCCGCGGCTCCCAGACGCCTGGCCCTCGCTGCTCACGCGGCTGCTCTCCCGGGTCAGTTTCAGGCCATCAGCCTGCTCTTTCCTCCCTCAGATGTGCTCAGAGCTGCCACGCTCCTCAGCCCTCCTCGGCCCGGTTCTCAGTCTGACCTTACGGCCCGCCCCTCCTCTGCTTACATTTCCGAGGGACCTTGGCGCTCACTGCCTCTGGAACGCAGCTGGGTCAGGATGGCAACTTGTGGGCACGCCAGAGCTGGGGTGGGCGGTGGAGGCTTTTCCTGGACTTCCGCCTGAGTTTATGGCCGCCAAAGAATAGGCCAGCCCGGCGTGCTGGGGGGGTCCCCGGGGAGGGTGCGGGCGGGGCTCAGTCCTCCTGCAGAGCCTGGGCTGACCGGCAGGTGCTGGCCCTCACCGAGCGGGGGCAGTGGCTGGCTGTGCCTCCAGAGCGTGCTTCGGGCTCTGACTCGGCGCCGCTGGGTGCCCCTGTTGGCAGGACAGAGGTCACCGAGCTGCCTTCCGGCCGCCCGCGGAGGTGGCTGGCGGGGGTGGGGCACTGCGCGTGCGCTTGCCTTGAATTCTTCATCAGCCAGGCGAGCCCCACACTCACCCGGGCCTCGGGGCCCCCTTTCCGCGCTAACCTTGGTGTGTGGCCTGCACCGGCGTCCAGTGGGGCGGCAGCTGTGCCGGGCGCCTCACACGCGCATGTTAAGTGCCCTGGCTGTACCCCGCTCGCACTTGAGATCAGAGACGAGGCACAGCCAGCCAAGGAGAACGCGAGTGAGCGAGCTGCAGGTGTCTGTCCTGACCTACCCCGGGGCAGCCTGCAGCAGACCACGCCCCGGGAGAGGTCTGGGGAGAATGAGGCCCCACCCTGATCTCGCGTGGGGGTGGCGCCCGCAGAGGTCAGCCTGGCTCCTCTCAGTTGACCTCTGGTCCCCTTGGTCTGGGACCTAGAGGTCAGGCAAGGCCCGAGTCGGGGGTCTGTGGCCCCACTTAATGCGGGTATTTTAGAGCGAGAGCAGCCGGGCGGGGAGGGTCCCTCGGAGGCGCACAGTGTGACTGCAGAAGTGGGGAGAACCCCGGGGCTACCGTTGTTGCCTGGGGCTTGTCTGGGGCTGCTTCCTTGGCCCCTGGCCCCCCCGCACCTGGTCCCACACGAGGCGGCACCCCAGCAAACAAGGAGAAAGGTCTGCAGACTTGGGCAAAATGAAGGTTTCATAGCCCGACGGGGTGGGACAAGGAGATTGTTTCAGGCCCGGCTACCCCTAGGGAAGGGGTTCACGTGCAGGTGGCCTGAGCCGCACCGCCCAGGGAGCGCCAGGGTGATGCTTTAACTGCTCTGGGGAGCAGTGACGCTGCAGCTGGTGATGTTGGACAGAACAACTCCAAAATTGGGGTTTGTGGGGTCACGTCTTTGGAGCCCCCTGTGCTTGTGTCTGTGAACAGCACCCCCACCTCAAGTGTGGGCTGGGGTGACGGTGTGACGTTGTGGGCTTAAATTTAGCC